AATTTTAATCAAATCCGAACCTTTAGATCTAAGATCCTATTTATATTTGGTTCACCCTTAATTGGGTTAATTGGATTTGTCAAAGGCCACTAACAGCCACTACTTAAAATGATCAACAAAGGTAACTAAGTATTATTATTTCCTATTACGGATTATTATCATATATTCAATAAAAAAAGGGGGTTTATAGACACCCCTATTATGTTTAATTATCACAACCAAGATTTTCGAAAACTTTAAAAGCTTCCCTATAATTATTGAAATTGCCTGAGAAAGGAAATCTTTTAAAAATAAAAAGGGGCATTTAATATGTAACATTCCTGTTTGTTACTCTATGTCTCTTTGGTTTATTAATATCATTGGTCATTGTTAAACCACCACTACTAAATTTATTGTTGTATTGACAGTTGTTCAACCATCTGCTTTAATCTTTTAAAATGGGGTATACAAAAAATTTAACTGACTTGATATAACCTCGATAATATTGTTATAACCGAAGAAGAAGTCTAAGTAAAATTAAATAATAGGCCAAACTAAATTTACAATGCCAAAACATCACATGATAATTATGAACCAGTAATTGAAGCCTGGTGACTCACATCATCTTGAGGCCTTTTTTTATGAACAGGAAGAGGACTAATATATAATTTTTTTATGAGTAGTGGTTGCAATGACATTCCTTCAACAGGCACCCGGTATTTGAAATATTTGTTTAGGGTATAGTAAATGTGGCTGATGTTGGGTTGGTTGTCGTTGGAAGCAGTGTGTCGTTAGTGAAAAATTCTAGTGTGGGGTGGTGCGGGCCCTGTCCCCAACAGTGACCAAGACGCATACTCGAGATCTCCTCGCGAAAAACCTATGTCCATTCGGTCTTGTTCGATCGTCTTCCGAGAGAAGGCGGCGAAAAAAATGGAATTGTCTCGTGTGAGTGCGGGTTAAAAACACTGGGTGAGGCTATTCCGAAGCCACACATCCCCACACGATGCAAGCGCACTAAACAGCGATATCAGTACAGCCACCAGGGTTTAATAAATAAAAAAGTCCAATCTTTTGTGTTGAGCTTTAGAAAGGTGCGCTTTAATCTCGCGAGCAAAAAAAAAGAAGGAGTGGAGGGGAGGGAGTGGGGGGACATGGGGGGGGGTGGCAAATGAAAAACGTGGGCACGATCTGGTTACGATTCCTCGGAATGTTGGGAGTATTAGCCGATTCGACAGGGGGGACATTACGATTACAGAGCATGAAGTTGACACGAGGGAGATAGAAGCAGGTCCACTCAAAATACTATACGCAAGGCGGCGCAGCGGCGGGAAGAACCGAATGAAGGGTAAGAGGGACATAGGAGTGGCGGGAGGAAGTACAGAGGGGCGCCGTGCGAGGGAATGCCTCAAAAAAGCGGGGAGCCGGAGTAAGAGCCGGGAGAACAAGAACTCACGCAAAGAGCTAAGGGAGCGGGTGTAGGCCGACGAGCAGGCAGTGGCGAAGGAGGGTGGGGGCATGCCAACAGGAGGGAGGGGTAAATGAATAATGAGAAGAGCGGGCGCAAGGGAACGCGAATTGCTGCGAAGCGGGCGATCACAACTGAGAAAGAGCGGAGACGGGGAAAAGGGAAATAGAGCCGTAGGGAAGGGAATTTCTCTAGAATCAGACGATGACAGGATCAGCAACAAAGAGGATAGGCCTCCGCCGGGAGCATAAAAAAAGCCGCAAAGTGGCCCCAGGCTGCAATTGAGTGGTGCGAATAGAGCACAGATTGTGAAACTCTGGGGAGAAAGGTGGGTCACAACAGGCTAACAGTCGGGAGGGCAGCTGATGTAGGGAAGTGGGTTGCCTGCGGGGAGAAGGATATTGATCTCAGGTCTGCGCTTGGAATAAGGAGTGAAGGAGAAAGGTATCAGGTCAGCGCAGTGAATGGCATTTAATGGTAGGTACCCAGAGTCCGTTCTAAAGTTAATAGAGGCAAGCAGGGGTGACCCGGGGTAGAGCGAGAGCAAGATAAACGAGTGACAAAGGCTGAGCTATACAGGGGGGAGGGGGGAGGACCAGAAAAGGAAATCGACGGGAAAAAGGGGTGTGGTGTGAACCAATCGACCAAGGACGACTAAGAGAGGAACACACACAAAGGGGGGGGACGCACGAAGACGCCGATAAAATGTGTCTGAACGGTTTGAAGGGTTGGGGCGGCTCGGTACGCTAATTCGCTTCTCAGGCAGCGATTGACAAGGTAAAACCCTAGGGGATCTCTGTGTAATTAACTCAAAATAACATTCAAAACCTATATTTTAATTAAACAAATATATTTTTTAATTTGTTAATGTATCAATTTTGAATAATTAATATAAAGTTTTAAAAATTTTAAATGTTGAATCGAGAAAATATGGCATACAGGATTTGGACTAAACATTAAAAGATAATCAATACAAAATTTAAATAAATTGTTTTTAAAAAAACTTAATGATTAATTATTTCAAATCAAATTAATAAAAAAATACAATTAAAAGATACTAAAGTTATTAATCATTACAAGTTAAATGAATAATCACAAAATATAGCACTTGGGCTTTGATAGATTAAGTTATTAATCCATGAAAGACCAGGAGGGCATCACATAACTTGTGGGGACAATTACGTAATTCTGTATTCAAATTCAAAGTTAATTTTGTCATCTACTTAAGCAATAATCAGCTCTTCGAGGGCACTCAGCCAGAACACTTAAACTGAGTCAACTCAATCTCACTTGTACGCACTTGTGTGTTTTCTCTCTTCAAATATATACTTTTAAATTCTGATTTTACCATATATTTTTTAATTTTCAAGGAATTGGTTAAAATCAACAAAAATAAATAAATAAATACATACATATATGTATTACTTCTTGGAAATCAGTGTAGAAAACTATGTATAAATTGATCAATCTGGAACTATTCTTTACTTTAATCTTTATCTCTTGAGTTTTGTTAAACTAATTAATCAAACACTAATCTAATTAATTGATTGAATTATCATTTAATTTTCTTTCGTGAAATTTCGTGGAAGGTGACCGGCTGATTATATAGGCTAGTAGAAGTTAAATCACTTGCTGATGCTTGGAAATTAAGTGAATTGAAGAAAAAAACAAGACATTGAAAAAGCAACCACTATGAAGTTGAATTATTGGAATGGTGGAGCCAAGACTTTAAAACCAAAGTTGCAGACACTTCTTGGATTATCTGCTTTAATAATGAACACTTGACTCTTGGATGTCCATTCTACTTTTTCTTTATTCACAGTGAACGGTTGAGAGAAAAAGGAAGAAGCCTCTTGAACTTTCATTTTCTGAGTCTCTTTCTTCTTCTCTAAATCTATTCTCCTAATTTCTCCTTTTCATTTCTTATCACAAATTCAACTACTCAAACACCAATTTCCATCTCTTCATCTTGCAGACACTGCTTGCTTGAAGAATCCACTGTTAAGAAATCCAGAAGACCCTCATATCACTAATTTCAGGTAAGGAAAAACAACATTCATATCACCACCGCTTTTATAAATGAGTGTAGAGAAATTTAACAAAACAATCATTATTATTTATAATTTTATAGTAGCTTCAGAATTCATTAATCATCATGCTTAAAGAGTTATAGTTTATTGCATTTGAGTATGTAATAGTTCAAGGANATAGTAGATTATAATCATCATTTGTGGATGTAAGCGTATTGGCTTGAACCACATATACTCTAATTTATGCTTTTAAATTCTGATTTTACCATATTTCTTTTTATTTTGAAGGAATTGGTTAAAATCAACCAAAAAAAAAAAAAAAAAAACGTAAGTACACACATATATGTATCACTTCTTCGAAATCAATGGAGAAAAATATGTATAATTATTGATTGGATTATCATTTAATTTTCTTTCGTGAAATTTCGTGGAAGGTGACCGGCTGATTATATAGGCTAGTAGAAGTCAAATCACTTGGGCTGATGCTTGGAAATTTAGTGATTTGAAGAAAAAAACAAGACATTGAAAAAGCAACCACTATGAAGTTGAATTATTGGAATGGTGGAACCAAGACTTTAAAACCAAAGTTGCCGACACTTCTTGGATTCTCTGCTTTAATAATGAACACTTGACTCTTGGATGTCCAATTTACTTTTTCTTTATTCACAGTGAACTGTTGAGAGAAAAAGGAAGAAGCCTCTTAAACTTTCACTTTCTGAGTCTCTTTCATCTTCTCTAAATCTATTCTCCTAATTTCTCATTTTCATTTCTTATCACAAATTCAACAACTCAAACACCAATTTCCATCTCTTCATCTTGCAGACACTGCTTGCTTGAAGAATCCACTGTTAAGAAATCCAGAAGACCCTCATATCACTAATTTCAGGTAAGGAAAAACAACCTTCATATCACCACCACTTTTATAATTGAGTGTAGAGAAATTTAACAAAACAATCATTATTATTTATAATTTTATAGTAGCTTCAGAATTTATTAATCATCATGCTTAAAGAGTTATAGTTTATTGCATTTGAGTATGTAATAGTTCAAGGATCCATAGCTTCGGAAAACCAGTTTCTCTTACTTTCACTCTCACTGTTCTTAATAATTATCAATGGTGTGAAATAGTTTATCACTATTCTTAATAAGAATCCATTGTTTTTTTTTTATTCTTTTTTTTCCTGAATGTCTCTAAATATATATTTAGAAAACTGGTAAGGTCGAGTCAGTACCAGACTTGGTTCAAAGGTTCATTGCACTGTCCTAAAAAAGTTCGATTACTGTTATTACTACAAGAAAATTACATACAAATTACTAACTGATTATCATCGTTCTCTTTCTTGATTGTTGCTCTTCATCTGATTATCACCTTTCTCCGTATGAGAATTTTAATTCATTCTTATCATTTCTTCCTACGTAGTCAAAACCATGCCAGTGGGAGAAGTCTTTCTTGGTGCTTTTCTTCAGGTGCTGTTCGACAGATTGGCGCCACATCAGCTGTCGCTCTTTCCATGTGAAGATGGGATACGTTCAGAGTTGAAGCAGTGGAAGAGAAAGTTTCTAATGATCCAGGCAGTGCTCAACGATGCCGAGGAGAAGCAACTGACGAACAAGGCTGTGAAAATGTGGATGGACGATCTCCAAGACTTGGCTTATGATGTGGAGGACATCCTGGATGAATATGCCACTCAGGTTCTAGAGCGGGAATTGATGACAGAGCAATCGACAAACAGAATTGCTGATTATTTCTCTTCTTGGACTCCAAGTGCTCTGATTTCCCAGGCTGATATGAAGTCAAAGATAGAAGAGATAACTTCCCGTTTAGAAGATCTCTGTGAAGAAAAGAATGATCTTGGCCTGAAAGAGATTGCTGAAGGCTCATCTACTGTTGCATGGCAAAGACCACCTAGTACATGTGTGCCAACTGAACCAGCAGTTATCGGAAGAGATGCTGATAAAGCCGAGATACTTGAAATGGTGTTAAGCGATAAACAGAGTGGTGGCAGCTTTCATGTGATACCCATTGTTGGGCTAGGAGGAGTTGGCAAAACAACACTTGCTCGGGAGGTATACAACGATAAGGCAGTGTCAGATTTCAATCCAAGAGCTTGGACATGTGTTTCGGATGATTTTGATGTTCTGCGTATCTCCAAGGCAATTCTAGAGTCAATCACTGCATCAACTCGCACTCCAATGAACTTAAATGAAGTGCAGGTTCAGCTGAAAAATAATATAGCAGGGAAAAAATTCTTGTTAATCTTGGACGATGTTTGGAGTAAAGATTATGACTCGTGGGAAGACCTAAAGTCTCCATTCTTGGCTGGAGCACCAGGAAGTAAAATAATTGTAACTACACGTAGCAAAGATGTGGCATCGACAATGGAACTAGAAGTTCGTTATGACTTGGAGCTTCTGCCAGAGGATGTTTGCTGGGCCATATTTGAGAAGCATGTAAATGGGAGTAGAGTTATTGCTGCAAAAAGGAATATGGAATTAATTCGGGGGAAGGTTGTTAAAAAGTGTAAAGGCTTGCCGTTGGCAGCAAGAACGCTAGCTGGCCTTTTACGCTCTAAGCAAAAATATGATGAATGGGTGGATATATTGGACAGTGAAATTTGGGATTTGCCAGAGGAAAGTAATATTCTCCCAGTCTTAAAATTAAGTTATTATCATCTTCCGTCGCATCTTAAGAGATGTTTTTCTTACTGTGCAATTTTTCCCAAGGATTATCAATTCAACAAGGAAGAACTTGTACTTTTGTGGATGGCAGAAGGACTTATTCAACAATCAAACCATAAGAAGCAACTAGAAGACCTAGGAGGCGAGTATTTTGGTGATTTATTATCGAGGTCAATATTTCAACGATCAAGTATCAATAATTCAAAATATATAATGCATGACCTTGTGAATGATTTGGCTCAATGGATATCTGGAGAAAGGAGTTTTAGATTGGAGGATGAATGCAGTCTCATGTCAATAAAAAGATTTGATAGAATTCGACACTCTTCTTACACATTTAGACGTTATGAAGTAAAAAAGGATTTTGAAGCTCTCTATAAAGTTGAGTCCTTGAGGACGTTGCTGAGAACATTCTTGCCATCACGGCACGAAAACACTTACGTTACTAAAACCCTTTTTTTGGATTTATTGCCAAGACTCAAAAAATTGAGAGCACTATCTTTAACAAACTACCTTGTGATGGAACTACCCAGCTCAATTGGAGATCTAAAACATCTAAGGTATATTAACCTTTCTAAAACTGGGATAAAATATTTACCTGAGTCAACATGTTTATTGTTCAATTTACAAAGTTTGATGTTGAGATATTGTCGGTGTCTTGAGAAGTTGCCTTCACACTTGGGAAATTTGATCAATCTACGCCATTTTGATATTAGAGGGTCAAAATTAATAATGGAGATGCCATTGGGAGTGAAACAGTTAAAATATTTGAAGACACTGTCAAATTTTATTGTTGGTGAAGGTATTGGATCTAGCTTGAAGGATTTGAAAAGCTTAAAGTTTCTTTGCGGAGAGCTCTGCATTTCACATTTAGAGAATGCAGTGGATTGTCAAGACACAACAGAGATGATATTGTGCGAGAAGAAGGACTTAGAAGCGTTGGTACTAGAATGGAGTTCATCTAATCCCTCGCAAGATGAAGCAGTGAAAATTGTTCTTGACATTTTACAACCTCATGAAAATCTTAAAAAGCTCACAATAAGAAATTATGGCGGCCAAAAACTTTCATCTTGGATAGGAGATCCATCATTCTCCAACATGGTGGATTTGAAATTGGATGGATGTGAAAACTGCACAACCTTGCCTTCGCTAGCACTGATGGGCTCACTTCAGAACCTGACAATCAGATTGATGGGAAAAATAAAAAACATAGGTGGTGAGGTTTATGGAGAGGGTTGCTCAAAGTCTTTTCAATCGTTGCAGACTCTTTGTTTTGAGAACTTGCAAGAGTGGGAGCATTGGGACCCTGTAGAAAATGACCATGTCGAAAGATTCCCTCGTCTCCAAACACTTTCAATTTCTCAATGTCCTAAACTCTCTGGAAGATTACCTAATCATCTCCCTTTGTTGGATAATCTTATGATAAATGGGTGTGAGCAGTTAGTGGTTTCATTTTCAAGCCTTCCAATGCTCAGATCATTAGTAGTAGATAGATGCAAAGGCATGGTTTGTTGTAGCCCTGTTGATTCAGAGGTGCTAAACTCCATGAGTACAGGTGGAGAATCAAACTTTCCAGTGTTTAGAAGTTGGTCAAGGGAGGGATTTCAGAAACTAGAACATCTGTCAATTGTTGGCTGTGAAGAGCTCATACATTTATGGCCAAATAAGATTTGTCCAGAGAATGCACCACAAGAGTTGAGTTGCTTCACCTCCCTTCAAGAGCTGCATTTAAAAGAGCTCCGAAATCTTGTTTCGTTTCCAGATGGGTTACTTTCAATCTTGAGCAGTGTTACAATCACCAAATGTGACGCCCTAACATCCTTGCACGAGGGGTTGAAGCACAGCAATGCACGTCTCAAGTATTTAAAGGTTGATGGCTGTCTTTCTCTAAAATTCATTGTGAGAGGCCGTTTACCTTCATCTCTAAATACGCTTGCTATTTATGGATGTGAAAACTTGATGTGCGTTTTGGATGATAGAGAAGATATTTGTACTTCTTCTCCATCTTCTTCTTATTCACTGGTACACAGGGACGACGTGGACAACACCAGCACATCTCTTCTCTACGAATTAATCATATATGAATGCCATTCTCTGACGCATTTATCGTCAACAGACCAGTTACCTTCAACACTCGCGAGGCTTTCTATTTTACAATGTTCAAGTCTCGGAACCTTGGGACAGTTATCTAAGGGACTTGTGTCCCTTTCTATTATCGACTGCCCAAAGCTAGAGTCACTGGCAGCATGGAGTTTTGACTGTAACATGCCCATTGAGTATCTTTCTATCCAGGGATGTGAAAACCTTAAATCCATTCCGGAGGGCTTACACACTCTTTGCAAACTACGTCGTATGAGTATCAGTTATTGCTCAAGTCTTGTTTCGTTTCCAAAAGATGGGTTTCCTGACACTGATTTAGAAGTATCTATCTCCTACTGTGAGAAACCACAAGCCCTACCTAGCCGCATGCACACCCTCAAATCTCTTCAAAAGCTATCCTTATGGGAATGTCCTAATATCGAATCCATTACAGCAGAAGATTTCCCCCCCAACCTAAAATCACTTGCACTTCCTCTCAGTATCTACAAGCCACTGACTGAGTGTGGTTGGCACAAACTTACCTCTCTTAGAAGTCTCTCAATTTTGGGATCATCTTTTCCAGAGGAGGAGATCATAGAAATGAAGTTTCCCACCTCTCTAATTGATCTGAGCATTGTTAGCTTCGCGAAATTGAAATACCTATCTTCCAAAACTTTCCAAGTTCTTACATCTCTTGAATCTTGGACTATCGGTGATTGCCCAAATCTCACATCCTTGCCAGACCTTCCATCCTCACTTTTGTCGCTATATATTTATGAATGTCCTTTAATAGAAAAACAGTGCAAAAGGAATGAAGGACAAGAATGGTCCAAGATAGTTCAAATCCCTCGCGTTGCGGTAAATCATGAACTCATCTAAACTCTGGAAGAGGAAACGAGCTCAATCCGATACTAATTCCTTCCATCATTGTAATCAATTTAGGTACGTCAATTTTTGGCTCATAGAACAATTGTTATTATTGAGAGAATTTAGAGTTTTACAAAAACAGAGTGCGAATTAACAATTTTGTCACTTCATGCAGGAAGAAACTGAACAGTCTGACACCTAGATGCAGAATGCCAACATTGCAATGGCAGGGGTAAGCTTTACCATATGGTTTCTTAAGACAATTTTTAGTCTCACTTCTGACTAATTAAAATTAATGAGAGAATTGGTTTAAGTATATTCATTTCGTTCATTTCTGGTAGTACCCTAAGCTCTTTAAGCACTGAGTTGATATCAAGGTTTGTGTTTTTCTTCTACCTAGTAATTCATGGAGCTTAATTTGGATGTGGAAGGCAATGATACACTATGTAGATTACAGAGCTCTGGAGGTGTTGGTGTTCAAATGTTGCAGTTTAGATTGCTGGAGTGTTATGGGAATATCAGTGAAGATTCTGTTGAAGCCTTTCAAAGGTTATGATTGTCCTTTGCAGAAAAAGAGGGAAAAAAAATAAATAAATAAAAAAACAGCAATCTACACGAGGAAGAATGGAGCTTCTTCAATCATTATCTAGGGCATGCCTTTATACTCTTTTCAGGTCTGACAAATTCTTGCACCTAAATGATACAGTTATGTCACAATTGTATACAATTTTATGTAACAATTGTAGGAAGAAACCAACTTCAAAAACATTATGTCCACATTGCAATGGCACTGTTAAAGCTTTATCATATCACATGTTAAGATAATTAAAAAGAATTTTGGTTCCTCTGTTTGATAACCATCTAATACAAAATCATCCAGTATCTATCAAAGAATCCTTCACTCAACTTACCATACTAACTTTTTTATACCATTTTTCAGCTCAATGTAGAAAGAAGCTAACAGCAGAGCTCACCATATTATGGATACAACAATTATTGACATCTGTGTTAATTAATTTTTTTTCATTTGTTTCTTTGAAGTGTTCTTATTTACTGATTTAATTATTTTTCAGAGGGACTAGAGTACAGCTTCCTTTCAAAATTTGAAGCTCAAGGGCTTGCTACAATTAACTGCTTCTTCGCCTCATTTGATTCTTTGAAAGTTTGTAAGGTAATCAAAAGGAATTTGTGGAATAATTCAAACTCTTGATATTTTGTAACTTTTTATGTACATAATATCCACAGATACTGAAGTTTCTTTCTATACATAATATAAAGTCACAAAGTTGCAATGTCTATACTAGTTATTGACATCTGTGTTAGTTTTGGGGCATGCTGTTGGCAATTTTGGTCATTGGAGAAATTGAATAGGAAAATTGTTTTAATGGCCCGGCATCTGACATTGTGTATACCTTAACTTTAAATCTGAATCCAAATTCTATAACATGAATTGGTAACTCTAATTTTGGAGGGTTTTGGTGCATGAGTTTAGAGAATATATTGCAATCTGAATATCTTTCTGATCTACATCCTTAATCTACATCACTTAGACAAACAGAAGTATGCTATCTTTCTTTGAAAATAAATCATGTTATTATGTGACTTTAGTTATTATGTGACTTTCTTTATGCAGGTTCTGTGTAGCAGATGTTCTCCTTGCTTTGTAATACCTCCATATACTTGGGATTGTTTACTGGAACCTTAAGCCAGAAAATGTTCTTGTAAGGGAAGATGGACATATAATGCTCTCTGACTTTGGTCTTTGCCTTCGTTGTGCTGCAGCCTAACAGTAGTGAAGTTGTCAACACTCGGGTCTGAAACCCTGAAAAAGAATCCGGTTTATTGCATTCGACATGCCTGCATCGAGCCCTCGTGTATCAAACCATCAGGTCTTCCCACTAAAACTTGTTTTCTCCTCAATCCTTTTCAAAATCCAAGAAAGTTCGGAAACCAAAGAATGAAACCGGGAACAGTTACCCCACTGCCAGAACAGATTGCTGAGCCAACCAACACTCGCTCCATGTCGCTTGTGGGAACTCACGAGTACCTGGCGCCTGAAACCATCAAAGGTGAAGGGAATGCGGTGCTGTTGATTGGTGGAATTTTGGGATCTTTCTGTATGAGCTATTATTTGGTAAAACTCCCTTCAAGGGCTCCGAAAACAGGGCTACCCTGTTTAATAGTCCAAATAATTTCTCTTTCACAGCTATAATTTTTGTTGTCTCTAACTTTCAATTTTAATTACAAATTTGGTAAACATTTTCATTTCTAATGCTGGCCGAAACTCTAGACATTGAGCACATATCAAAGTTCTACTTTAAAAAATTCAATTGGTTTGTGTTTGGTGGACAGGTGGCTTTTCTTCTAATAAATCATAGAACTCCTTTCGGATGTGGAAGGCAATGATAATGCACCATGGTTTGCTCAATAAAGTCTCTGCTTGAAGAATGAATTTTTGGTGTAATATACAGAGTTCATAGTAAGAAAAGTAATCAGAACTATTACTGCATTGTAGTTAGTTTAGTTGGATTCAAGAAACCAACTGTTTTTATGACTTAAAAATTTCTTTCTTGAAGGTTTCTGCTATTCCTTTGTTAATTTTCCAAGAGGTGCTGCTGTTCAAATGTTGCAATTTGGGAGCATTATGAGAATGTTGGTGAAGATTCTATTGAAGCCTTCAAAAGGTTATGATTTCTTCTTGTCATGAGACCAAGTTATTCTAGTGTTATGATGGTCCTAATCTCAAATCCTTTACCACTTGTGCAGTTTAATATGAATGATTGTCCTTTTCAGAAAACGCAGGGCGAAGGGAACGAAAGACAAGAGTTGTTGAAGATATATAGCCACAATATTCCTTGGATTAACATTGATCACAAGTTCGTCTACCATCCCTACGAGGAAGGATGATCTTCGATTAGATTCAATCCTTTAATTACAACATTCCATCCTTATGCTCTTTTCAGGTCTGTCAAATTCTTGCACATAAACGGTACCATTAGTCACAATCACAGTTTATCAAATGAAGTTTTAATTATGTCACATTTGTAGGATCCAAACAACTCTCGGATACAATACGTCAACATTGCAATGGCACTAGTACGCTCTATCATAAGGCACCTTAAGATAATTGAAAGACATTTATTTCCTCTGTTTCATAAGTATCTAGACTTCTAGTAGCAAGTTTCCTTTGATAAATATTTACTAGGGTTCTTTTCAGATGATCAATTTATATTACTGATGAGTGGAGAGAATAAGGAAGCTGTGACAGCCGAGGTAATTTTTTTTTCTTTAGAAGTCTTGATGCATTTCCGAAAATATTGCGTAAATTCATTGTCCGAGCTTGGTCTTTGTAGCATCAATCGATGTTGGTCTATTGTTACTGTCTTCCATGATGCGAATCAGCCCCTTGTGTTTCATTAGCGGCATGGAGGAGAGGAAGAGGAGCAGCAACGGAACTGCTTAGACATGTGCTAGGTGAATATGATGAACTCAAAATCCGCAAGTATTTTTTCTAAAAGCCTGCCCAACTGTCAAGACATTATCCATTTTGGACACCACGCGTTCTGAGAACTTAGGAGCCCGTCCCAAGCGACGTGGGATATCACACTCTTCTTCTTGACGCACAATGATACTACGAAGAATATGCTTGAAGGATGAATATCTGGAGTTATTCACAACTTCAATTGTTTTTTATGTGTTTTACATTTTCTTTCAATTCCTGTATAATTGCGTGCAGCTGCATGTTCTTTTTAAGTAGAATTTTTTCCGAGGGAGTAAGGCTCATTATGTCCCTCATCGGGGTGTAGTCTTTTCTTTAATCAATAAAATTTCATCGAATGGTCGAGGTTGCTTCTAAAGGGAGAAAAAAACGAAAAAAAGAATACTTATTGCTATACCTTTGTTTATTATTGCAAATAACCGAGAAAAAATTTCAGTATTCCAAGTCACTGTTATTGGATTTCCATTTATTGCCGTTACACCGTTAACTAAATCACCGTTTTAAACGTCAGTGATTCTCATTCATTCCGGCAATTGCTTCGTTTTCTCCTTCTTCTCCGGTTGTTCATTTTTGAAAAAGCCTGACTGTAACGCCCAAGTAACGAGCAATCATTTCACTAATGTCCTCTTTGGCTTCCACAACCACCAAAAGAATCTATCAAAACCCCCCCCAAATTTAAACCATTTTCTCAGAACAAACCTCAAACGAAACCATTAAACAACGGCCATCGTCATAAGCTTCGAGCTTCTCAAATGGAGAACAGCATCTACACCTTTCTTTTCTCACCATAGACCGTTGGGAGTCTCTGAACCACATGGACTACAAGTTAGCTTCACTCAGACTGGTTCACGGGAACCACATGGTTTGAGATTTCTAAAGCTTCTGGTTTGGAACTCAATCACTTGACTCACTTACTTCGTTTAACAGCTGATCATGTTCCTGTTTAAAGCTAGAGTGTATGATGATGCCCAGGTGATATCGAGGCAGTTATCTTAAAATTTCTTCACTAAATATTTTTCTGTTAAAACAGAGCAGCAGAAAACTTGTTGCACACAATGTGCCAAATAAAGACATTTATTACAATCTTGCTCAACCATTAAGAACAAAAATTTCAATATATTGCAAGTGATTCATTTCACCTTCCTTAACAAAGTTGTTGACTAATAGAATACTCTGAATCGACTGAAGGGCTTTAGAGGTTACCAAAAGGTAGTCCACATGGTTTTACAAGGAACTAAAGAACCAAATAATTCTATTCGCATGCATTGTCTGTCCAATGTCCAATGTTGAAGCACACCAACTAAAGCGCCAAAATATTCTATTTGCATGCACTTTTTTTATCATGCCATCTACCAAACTGTGTTACATTATCTCAACGTTTGTCTTGAGAAATTTCGGATTTTGCGTTGTAAAAATATTACATCAGTTCCCGAAGGCCTACACACTCTTCGTAATCTTCGTCATTTTGGTATAAAAAGTTGCCCAAGTCTTGTTTGTTTACCGGAAGACGACCTTCCTAATACTGTTTCAGAAGTGCTTATCAATAATTGGAGGAAGCTCAAAGCTCTATCTCTTCAATGCCGAACCTTATATGAATTTCCAAATATGGCTTTCTCTCCTGAACAAATTGAACTCTGCACTTTACTAACCTCTTGTTCATGAACTCAGCTTCCTGGAAATTAATGCTCCACTGGAATATACTGAAATAAAAACAGAGTACAAAATTGACTCATATAATTTAATATGATATTATGTTATAAATCACCACAACGACAACCACCACAAACACTCACCACTACAACCCCAAACACCCAACACTAACAGCCAACAAAACACTCAACACTACCTGCAAAAAAACACCCAACACTGATTTAAATTTCACATGGAATAAAATCAACAAATAAATCTAAAAAAGTGAACAAATCTTTTTCAAAATCTCTTAATTTTTTCAAATAAAATTCACAATGCCCGAGTGTGGAGGCTTAGAAGTTAGAAGAGAGGCATAGTTACGGCTTGAAGGCTTGAGCTTGGGTCAAGACGTGACAGGCTGCCGTTCGACGGCGACCTTCCACGGTGGCGACCCATGCTCATCCTTGCTCAAATCCGGTCATGGCTGCAGTGTTTTCTTTAATTGGTAAAGAGAGAGGGAAGTGAAGAAAGTGTTTTTATTGCTATATATACATACATATACTTTAGTCACATAATTACCTAAAAACCCCTTAGTTAGTTGATAATTACCAAAAACACTTTGACCAATTAGACCTACACACTCAAATTACCTAAATGCCCTTTATCCTTTGACTTTTTTAACCTTTTGGAAAGGGCGTGTTCACGGCAAGTCGGCAAGTGATTTTTGGGGGGTTCTAATACATTAGAAAAATAATGGGGGCGTTTGTAATTTAAAACAAATGGGACCCCTCGACAAATTAAACTTTATTTATTAAATTATATTTAATTAATAAGACAAAATAAAAGCAAAATTGAATTTGTTCGCAACGATTGGCAAAATTAGGATTGAAATTGGGTTGAGATTGGGTGAAACTTGTATACTTGGTTGTGTGAAATCCTCTTCTTCATTGTTCTTCTTCTATATTGTCAATTGTTTGTAATGTTGGGTTGAAGACATAATTGTTTCAAGCTTGGGTTAGCTTCTGTGCACCAAGTGTTCGATAAATTGCCTCAGTTGGATTTTTGTTACATCACTTGAGGTTGAAGATCCCAAAATCTAACATCACTTGAGGTTGAAGATCCCAAAATCTACAACTCACTGGCAGTGTGAGGCTTCCACAAACTCGCCTCTCTTACAACACTCAGGACTAGTAAATACCCAAATGCAGTCTCTTTTCCAGGGGAAGAGATGAAGTTGCCAACTTCTCCAACTTCTATGAAAATTGAAAGCTTCACAGAATTGAAATACCTATCTCCCAAGGTTTTCCAAAATCTCACCTCTATTGAAGGGTTGTCAATCTATGGTTGCCCAAATCTTACATCCTTACCAGACCTTCCATCCTCGCTTCTGCGACTATATATTGGACGTTCTCCTTTGCTGAAACAACGATGCAAAAGGAATGAAGGACAGGAGTATTAAGATTGATTGAAGGTTCACTTTTAGAAACTGTGGAAATGGCTGGATCGGTCAATCACCTCACTTCATTCTTATGGGCTATTCAGGTCAGTCAATCTCTGGAACCAACACCATTAGCTTTTATCAAGACCATTTAAATTTTATAGAACAGAGATCTAATTAATAGCATGTGGCTCCTGTAGGAACCAACTGAAAAGTATGAACTCTGGGATGCAATATGCCAACATGTCAATGGCAATGGTAAGCTTTACCATTTGGCGTGTTAAGACAATTTGAATTCTCACTGTTGATTTATTGAAGTCTTTTTTTATTTCTCAGCTAATAGCAGAGCTCACCTCATGGACATAAAACTTAAATTAAATTTTTGCAAGGCTACTTTTCATTCATCTTGCCAATAACATAATGTAAGAAATTGCAATTCTATTCTATTCAGGCTCACTTGTTGATCATCAAAATTATGCTTCGGCTTGGAATCTGATTGTTCTCACATCAGTTAGAAAATAACATCTCATTTTGCATTTATGTTTCTTTTGTTTGTTTAAGGGTATTTATTTATATTTCATTTCGGTGGAAGCCAGTGGACTATTTGAAACTCTGTTCTTGAAGTAAACCATTTCTTTGTGCCATTGATTCTTCTAACTATTATTCAATGAGTCAAATTATGATGTTTTGCAATTTTTGAGATTTATAATTTCCATAGATACTAAGCTTTTTTTTATACTATGAACACCAAATTTGGGTTCCTTTTATAGATGATAACTACATGTTGGTGATTGGACTTAAAAAGAAAGTCGTGATTGCAGAGGTAATGTCCTGTTTCTTCTGATGCCTTTTCATTCAATCAGTGGCCTGAACTCTTTTGGCATTGAACTGATACCGAGGTTTTGTTAAAACAAGGAGCTCAATTTACAGTTGGAAGGAAATGGTACACTATGCTTTGTGGAGCTCCAGCTGATTTTATCCCAATACAGGCAGAAGCAGCAGAGACTATGCTTGGAGAACAAATTTTTAGAGTTATTTAGAGAGTTTGAATCCAAAAGTCATGTGTCACAAGTGTAGTCAGAACAACTATTATCATATTTTGCCAATTCTTGGAGTTCTTCCTGAGGTGTGAGTGCAGAAATGTTGGGATCTTGGTTGCAGAAGAGGTCTCAGAATGTTGATTTTTGGTGCATTGTGGCTCAAATATGCCAATTTTTTCGTTAAGAGCAATACTATCTCTCATTTTGTAACTTTTCTACATATTGTCTTTGGTCATTGTATTTGTGAATTGAGTGAAAAAACAATAACACATAAGATGATTAGGTGATTAACTTGTCGAGTAAGAGTCCTAATTCATAGGATCTTAACTGAATTAGGAAATAGGATATAGGCAAATTTAGGGTTTAGAGGGAACTTTGGGCTCTTTGGAGTGACCATTGGCTGATGGGCCTGAGCCCAAGTAGGCTAATGTGAGGTCCAATTCGAAGTATGACCTTGGTAGTTGAATGACCCAAATAAACTGGGTTGGGTGGGAACTCGCCCCAAACAAGTTTTGTTGCCATGCCATCCCTTGTCTGAACTGAAGTACCTAAATGTCTAAGTCTCTAATTTGACAAGGACCAAAATGTTAGTTTTTGGGATTAAAGTGATACTTAGATTCTACTGAACCTAAAATTTGGAAGCTAGATGTTATTTGCCAATTCATGAATAGTTAGATGAGTGAGAGTAGGTAGACCCTCAAATAAATAAATAAACTTTAGAGAACTTTGGTAAAAGACAACATATATTTCTTATTCATAAGTCTTTTTGTAGTAAAATCCTAACATCTAAAAATTTAATATAAAAACATTATGTTTAAATTTCATTTAGTACCGATAACATGCATGTACTAGGTATGGGCCTTTTCGTGAAAATCCATCCTTTTCTTTTTGAAAATTGTTGATCATAAATAAAGTATTTTGTAAGAGTAGTGAAAATTACAAATGAGTAGAGAAAAAGACGGGGATGTGCTCTTGTGTCATATAACTCCCAAAAATGTTTAAGAGAATATTATGCACTTGTGTACTGTTTTCTCTCTTCAAATAGTGGATTATAGTCATCGTTTGTAGATGTCGGCATACTGGCCTGAACCACGTAACTCTAATGTATAGTTTTGAGTTCTGATTTTATCGGATTTCATTTTATTTTGAAGGAATTGATTAACCTGTATAAGGAAAGACGGACAAAATATGTATATGTATTGCTTCTTAAAAGTGAGTGTAGAACAATATTTACAAGTTGATCAATTTGTTCTTCACTTACCCTTTTATCTCTTGAGTTTTGTTAAACTAATTAATCAAACACGAATCAAATTATTGATTGGATTATCATTCAATTTTCTTTTGTGAAATTTCATGGAGGGTGGGCGGTGGATTATGTAGGTCAGTGCAATAACTGGAGGTTGGTGCTTGGAAATTCTCTAAACCAAACACACTATGGACCAGTATGAAGAAGCAGCCAAAGATTTTAGGTGTGTATAATTTAATTTTGAGTTGAATTATTGAAATGGTGGAGCCAACGCCAAAGAATATGGACCACTACGAAGAAGCAGCCAAAGATTTTAGGAGTGTATAATTTAATTTGGAGCCGACGCCATAGACTTTTATCCTTTATGAGCACTTGACTCTTGGATGTCCATTTTAATTATTCATAGTGAAGCGTTAAGAGAAAAGGAAGAAACCTCTCAAACTTCTCATTTTCTGAGTCTCTTTCTTCTTCTGTCATCAAACACTAATCTAATTATTGATTGGATTATCATTCAATTTTCTTTCGTGAAATTTCATGGAAGGTGACCGGCTGATTATATAGGCTGGAAGTGAAATTTCGTGGAAATTTGTGATTTGAAGAAAAAAAACAAGACATTGAAAGAGCAACCACTATGAAGTTGGATTATTGGAATGGTGGAGCCAAGACTTTAAAACCGAAGTTGCAGACACTTCTTGGATTCTCTGCTTTATGAGTACACTTTCCATTTTCCATTTTACTTTTTCTTTATCTTTCATAATGAACACTTAACTCTTGGATGTCCATTTTCCATTTTATTACTGTTGACTGAAAAAGGAAGAAACCTCTCAGACTTTCATTTCCTGAGTCTCTTTCTTCTTCTCTAAATCTATTCTCCTAATTTCTCCTTTTCATTTCTTATCACAAATTCAACAACTCAAAACACCAATTTCCATCTCTTCATCTTGCAGACAGTGCTTGCTTGCAGAATCGACTGTTAAGAATCCAGAAGACCCTCATATCACTAATTTCAGGTAAGGAGAAACAACCTTATAATTGAGTGTAGAGAAATTTAACAAAACAATCATTATTATTTATAATTTTATAGTAGCTTCAGAATTCATTAATCATCATTCTTAAAGAGTTATAGTTTATTGCATTTGAGTATGTTATAGTTCAAGGATCCATAGCTTCGGAAAACCAGTTTCTCTTACTTTCACTCTCACTGTTCTTAAAAATTATCAATGGTGTGAAATAGTTTATCACTGTTCTTAATAAGAATCCATGGTTTTTTTTTTTTTTTTTTTTCCTGAATGTCTCTAAATATATATTTAGAAAACTGGTAAGGTCGAGTCAGTACCAGACTTGGTTCGAAGGTTCAATTTCACTGTCCTAAAAAAGTTCGATTACTGTTATTACTACAAGAAAATTACATACAAATTAGTAACTGATTATCATCCTTCTCTTTCTTGTTTGTTGCTCTTCATCTGATTATCACCTTTCTCTGTATGAGAATTTTAATTCATTCTTATTATTTCTTCCTACGTAGTCAAAACCATGCCAGTGGGAGAAGTCTTTCTTCGTGCTTTTCTTCAGGTGTTGTTCGACAGATTGGCGCCACGTCAGCTGTCGCTCTTTCCATGTGAAGATGGGATACGTTCAGAGTTGAAGCAGTGGAAGAGGAAATTTCTAATGATTCAGGCAGTGCTCAACGATGCCGAGGAAAAGCAACTGACGAACAAGGCTGTGAAAACGTGGATGGAGGATCTCCGAGACTTGGCTTATGATGTAGAGGACATCCTGGATGAATATGCCACTCAGGTTCTAGAGCGGGAATTGATGACAGAGCAATCGACAAACAGAATTGCTGAATATTTCTCTTCTTGGACTCCAAGTGCTCTGATTTCCCAGGCTGATATGAAGTCAAAGATAGAAGAGATAACTTCCCGTTTAGAAGATCTCTGTGAAGATAAGAATTATCTTGGCCTGCAAGAGATTGCTGGAGGCTCATCTACTGTTGCATGGCAAAGACCGCCTAGTACATGTGTGCCAACTGAACCAGCAGTTATCGGAAGAGATGCTGATAAAGCCAAGATACTTGAAATGGTGTTAAGCAATAAACAGAGTGGTGGCAGCTTTCGTGTAATACCCATTGTTGGCCTAGGAGGAGTTGGCAAAACAACACTTGCTCGGGAGGTGTACAACGACAAGGCAGTGGCGGATTTCAATCCAAAAGCATGGGCATGTGTTTCGGATGATTTTGATGTTATGGGAATTTCCAAGGCGATTCTTGAGTCAATCACTTCATCATCTTGTAGTCTACAGAACTTAAATGAAGTGCAGGTTCAATTGAAAAACAAAGTAACCGGAAAACATGATCAAGAGTTTTCAATCATTAAAGAATCTTTGTTAAGATAATTAAAAGAATTTTTTTTGATAACCACATTATGATACAATAATACAAGTTAAGATGAACTGTTCAATGTTTCATTCATCTTGCTAGTAACTCTTCACTCATCTTCGATGTATGGTCATGAAATCTGTCAAGCATGGAATGTGTTGCACTCGTAATTTTTTTAATTTCATTAATTTCTTTGGTTTCTTTGAAGTGTTCTTATGTATTCATTTAATTAAATTCAGAGGGACTACACTACAGATTCCAGTCAGAATTTGAAGCTTAACGGCTGCTGCAATTAACTGCTTCTTCAGCTCTTGATTCTTTGAAAATTTGAGTGCTGTCTGTAAGTAATCAAAAGGAATTTGTGGAATAAATCAAAGCTCTTGATATTCGTAATTTTATGTACATAATATCATAGATACCGAAGTTTCTTTACAATCTACTAATGAAGTGTTTTGTGTCATGGATGATATTTCTACTGTATCACTTCACCTTTCTGAAAATGGGGTAGGCAGCATATTGGGGCACAATTAGAACTCAATAGGATACTAATTATTATATGAAGTTATTACATATCTTAATAGGGTATATAATAATTCAACGGACAATGATAGGAACATCAATATAACTGTTTTAACCCTGAAGATCGGAACATCAGAGTAAAATTCCAAAGGCCAAACTAATATTGCCGGCTGGTGGAGGTTCAAGAAACTAAGACGCCAAAAGTTGATTTTGTTTTCTTCAATTCTTAAGGTCATCTTGGGGGCATTGTTTTATGAATAGGTAAAGGACTAATAATTTGTTATGATTATTAATGCAACGCAATGTACATTAACTTGAAAAGAGAACATTTTCGTTGAGTGCATCGCAGAATTTTCTTATTTTCCTTTCACACACAATTCGCCAAACAATTTCCAATATCAAAAATCTATCATCTTTTTATTTATCAACTGTTGACACAGAGTGAGCAAAAGTTTTCGTTCTTGCAGAAAGTGAGTGTTAAGAAGTGAAGACTACCCTGAATCACAAACTACAGGTAAGAGAAATCAACTAGGTTATTCTACAAATTTTCGAAACCGCACTGAAGTTTAATTTCACATTCTTTTGACTTGAATATGCTTGTTTTTGATTTGAAGTGGGGTTTATAATATACCACCTGGTAGGTAGATAAAGCATATAGATTTAAAAAAAAATTCATACTTATGGCATCTAAAGTTTATCCAAAAGTAAGTGCAAAATTATTGCAAATAATCTCACTTGCTGTTTACAGACTTTGAAACTCAACAGGAGATATAATTATTCTGTTATGTTGTTCTGAAATCTGAACCAACACAACAACTTGTAAATCAATTGTCAGAACAAAATCTATAAAGCATAGAACGTCTTTTTTTATTTCTTTATATTTAATTGGCAGTTGTAATCAATACACTACCTAATTTGGTTCAGTAATAATATAAATTGAAAGTGTGTTGAACCACACTTAATAAAATATTTTAACTTATAATAGAATTTATTTTCAAAAGAATTGTCATTTTAGCACTAACTGTTGCATAAACTACCACATGACAAATTGACTATTACCAATATCAAAAACCTTTC